TATTGACTTGCATAGTATGGACATTTGTTTTGTATTTGTTTTGGAATGACATGAAAGTGGACTATCCTTTTGAATTATACATATTCACACTTTGAAGGTATTATAGCATACCTTTTACTAAAAAATAATCTGATTACCTTCATATTTCCAGGGTCAAAGAGGACTTCCTGGAGAGCAGGGATTCAGAGGACAACCGGGACCTGCGGTAAACCAGAAGCATCATCTTAACCAGCTGTTTTACAATACATCTGACTTGCTTTCATTCACATGAGACAGTCTACTGAATAGAATGATCACTGTTAATCCTGTACCTTCATATCCCAGTCATATCTGTGAGAAAGTCAGTGATTTTTAGAGCAATTGAGATGTTTCTTCTGTATTCCACACATGACTGTCTGATGTCTTTCTCTTGTTTGTGTGGACAGGGCCCTAAGGGTGATGCTGGTGAAAAAGGAGAGGCAGGGAGACACGGAGACCCAGTGAGTTCGTCTTCTTATCACACATGATGTTTTTATTGTTTTCAGAACTTTTCACTGTCATGCTCTTCACTCTCTTTAGGGTCCTCCCGGATTGATGGGCCCTCAGGGGCCCCGAGGGCTGCCAGGCAATGTGGTACGTTCTTGAAAAATTCCTGACATCCAAAATACAAGATCTATTACAATTTTGTTTTTATGTTTTCATTTAAACAGGTGCATGCCATTTTTCCTTTTAATCATCTCATTTTGTAATTATAACTTATAAAAGCAAATATTTATGGAAATTTTAAGTTTTATAATTTAGACATATTGTTTTTTTTTTTTCAGGGTATTCCAGGTAGCATCGGTCCACCTGGTATTGCTGGACAGAGAGGAGAGAAGGTATGAAAGTGAACTAATGAAATAAACTAAATGTAACACTAAAAGAAACTGTCAAGTCTAGCTTTTGGTGTGGACGTTTTGTTGGATATGTTGTGTCATTTTACACCAAGCATCTATGAATTACTCTAACTCAAGTTGATGTAATTATGAACCATAATCATAATTCACCCTGTCTAAAATGGTTCTTTATATCCCGCCAGGGAGATGCTGGTAAATATGGTCCCCCTGGACCCCCTGGTCCAACTGGTGAGCCTGGTTTAAGAGGAGAAATTGGTTTGCCAGGAAAAGGCAAAGAGGGACCAAAGGTAATGTATTCATCAGTTTGATAACATCAAATATATTATTGAATAGTGTAATTTTGCTAAAATTTGTTACAAATGTTCCATGTGGATTCTCAAAACTACTAGCCAATTAGGTTTAAAAGAAAAGAGCATGCAGTTTGTTTCATTCTTGTTTTACAGTTTCCTGCCATGAGCGTGTAAAATTGCATTTAATAAGCATTGTGTTTACGTCTAGTCCTCTGAAAGTTGTTTACGCAAAATTTTCCATTTATATTTGCTGTGGTTAAAAACACTGAAATGTGGAGAATAAAACAACCACACATTAAACTAATGAGTCAATTGAACCGTGGCTGCAGGTGTGACTGGGGAACTGGCGTTGTTTTATAGCTACACATGCCTTATTTTTCTAGCTGTACACACACACACATCTACAATCTCTCCAACAGACATACATGCACATTAACACGCATATAATAATCAAATGAATAAAAATGTAATTATTTACTGAAAGTTTTGTCTGTTGTATCATTAATACCAAATCAAACATTATTGTTGATTTAAGACATGACTTAAATTGTATTCTGTTCATCTCACAAAGCTGTGATATGACTTCAGAAGTCTTGGAATAACATAAAAATAAACTGCATATGAATTTGTGAGAGGGAAAGGAAATATAGTGAAAATAGAGAAAGTAGCAGTAATCTGCTTTCTTTATTTACAGGGTGATTCTGGACCTCCGGGTCCATCAGGACCTCCCGGACTGAAGGTAATGAAACTTCTTTCACAAGTTTTATCTTGTTAAAAGTAAGAATCAGACTTCATCAGCATGAAAGGCCTTTTAGGCATTTTTATCATAAGCAGGTGTGTGTTTCCCCAGGGGCAAAAGCTGAATTACTGCATTTCATTTATGTGATGATTTTACTGAAATTTCAGAGAGCCAGACAAGTTTTCCTCGGGAAAAGTATCAGATATGTATTTTGCTACTGTACTTTAGCAATCAGTGCTATATACTGTACGTAAGGCTTAATAAATCCTGGATACACACTCCTTTTCAAAAGTTTAGGGTCTGTTAAAAACATTTCAAACAAATTAGTTTTATTCAACAAGGATGCGTTAAATTGATCAAAAGTGACAGTGCAAATATTTATAATGTTATAAAAGATTTCTATTTTAAATAAAAGTTGATCTTTTAAACATTCTTTTCATCAAAAAATCCTGAATCCAAAAAAAAAAGTGTCACAGTTTCCACAAAAATATTAAGCTGCACAATTTTTTTCAATGTTGACAATAATAAGAAATATTTCTTGAGGACCACATCAACATACTAGAATGAGTTCTGAAGGATCGTGTGATACTGGACTAATGGCTTCTGAAAATTCAGCTTTGTCATCATAGGAATAAATTACATTTATAATATATTTAAATAGAAAACAGCTATTTTAAATTAAATTAGTATTTCCCAATATTACTGTTTTACTTTATTTTTGATCCATAAATTACAGCCTTCCTAAAAGAGACATAAGAGACTTCTTTCATGAACATTTAACAAATCTTACTGACCCCAGGCTATCTATCTATCTATCTATCTATCTATCTATCTGGATATGCATTACAATATATATGGAAATTAGAGTCAATATTGTAAGTAAACAATATCTTATACAGCAATACACAGAGCTATTATCTTTCTATTGGAAGGGGGATGCTGTTTATTCTTCCATGTTGATCCCTTTTTATTTTGTGTTTCAGGGTTTACCTGGTCCACAGGGAATGCAGGGGATGCCAGGAAATAGAGGACCACCGGGAGAGGGAACCACTGGACCCGATGTATGGAAACACACACACACACACACACACACACAGGTTTGTTTTTGTGA